GGTGACGTCGATGTCTGTGGCGGCTAACGAAGGGAAGGGGGGAGGGGTCTGGTGACGTCGATGCCCGTGACGTCACCTGACTCTTTCCCCCCTTCGTAAGCGGACGGAGCCACTTGGGCCGGTGAGTTTGCCCAAGAAACTTTCTGCACGAGCGCCTGCCAAGGCATCGGCCTATACACATACAGCACAGCGATGACCTATACACATACAGCACAGCGATGACCTATACACATACAGCACAGCGATGACCTATACACATGCAGCACAGCGATGAAGTCATAAAATGAACTAGGAGCACACTAATCCAGTATGTTATTATTCTGAGTTGCCCCACTCAAGCGGCGGCCATATTGAGTGGGGCACGTGAGATTAATAACGTGCTGGATTAGTGTGATCCGAGTTCATTTTATTACCTCATTGCTGTGCTGTATGTGTATAGGTCATTGCTGTGCTGTATGTGTATAGGTCATTGCTGTGCTGTATGTGTATAGGTAATGTATTTGGATCTGTATGTGCGTTATAATTAATCGAACACGAACATTTTAATCATTACCAGCCCTAATATATATATACAACAATAGGTAATAAGAAATGTTCCCTGCTGATCGGCTGATCCCAAACTCACCTGCTGACAAATGCTGCGCAGCACATATTTTATGTGTATAGGTCATTGCTGTGCTGTATGTGTATAGGTAATGTATTTGGATCTGTATGTGCGTTATAATTAATCGAACACGAACATTTTAATCATTACCAGCCCTAATATATATATACAACAATAGGTAATAAGAAATGTTCCCTGCTGATCGGCTGATCCCAAACTCACCTGCTGACAAATGCTGCGCAGCACATATTTAGCGTACACATCCAAGCTGGCCGTCTCTATGGATACCAATCTCCCGCCCGGCCTGTTTGCTAAATCCTCATCTGTAATATCTTCATTCCCCGGTGGGAGAGGGAACCCCGAGCCTTGCAGTTCTGCATCACCTGGGGAAACAAATGTGAGTAAAATACCGGGGAAATGACTCCGGAGCATAACAGTGCAACGGCAAAAGGCTGGAGCTCGCAGAGCGTGCACAGCCCCGGACCATAATGTGCACAGCTTGGACCGGAGCGCACAACCCAGACAAGCGTGCACAGCTTGGACCGGAGCGCACAACCCAGACAAGCGTGCACAGCTTGGACCGGAGCGCCCAACCCAGACAAGCGTGCACAGCTTGGACCAGAGCGCCCAACCCAGACAAGCGTGCACAGCTTGGACCAGAGCACCCAACCCAGACAAGCGTGCACAGCTTGGACCGGAGCGCACAACCCAGACGAGCGTGCACAGCCCCGGACCAGAGTGCACAACCCAGACAAGCGTGCACAGCTTGGGCCAGAACGCAAAACCCAGACAAGCGTGCACAGCTTGGGCCAGAACGCAAAACCCAGACAAGCGTGCACAGCTTGGGCCAGAACACAAAACCCAGACAAGCGTGCACAGCTTGGGCCAGAGCTCACGTGGTATTCCCAGCACAATGGGGGGAATTTATCAAAACTGGAGCAGACAGAATCTGGAGCAGTTGCCCATGGCAACCAATCAGCTTCTCTCTTCAGTTTGCTCAGGTAAGATCTGAAAATGAGAGATAGAAGCTGATTGGTTGCCATGAACAACTGCTCCAGATTTTGTCTGCTCCAGATTTTGATAAGTC